AAAAATGAACCATCTGACGGTTTATGACAGCGCTGCCTGTTCCAGCCAAGTGAGGAGTGCTAGTCTTTGCTGACCCTGCAGCCAGGGTTGTGAAACAAAGAAAGTGCTTTCCAGAGGCTGAGAACCTACAGGCTTCCAGCTGCATAATACCTGCTTACATCTAATTCTGATAAGAAAAACAAAAGACATTTCGGACTTGCTTCTCGTGCAGTTTTGATTCATGGTAATTTAATAAGTTCTTGCTGCACTTTACTAGGCTTGGCAATTTGCATAGTTCTATATTTAGTAATCCCTGTGATGCTAATGTCTTTGTAGAGTGATCTGGGGTTTTTGCTACCAGTATCTTTATTAGTTTAGTATACCCTGCCACCTTTCTGTTTTTCCCAGGCTCTGTGGGGACACACTTCTGGAAGAGGAAGACTGTATCAGAGGTGGTGGCAAGTGGGAAGTGAATTCTAAAACTGGAAATTTTGAGGATCCACACCTGAATGCTCTCTCTAGAGAATTTCTATACCAGCTTCTAATATGTGCACTTTGTACAACAGTTTCCCCTCCCTCTAGTCTTCTCCAGTGAATTACATGGCCTGAGAGAGCTTTGCAATTTTTGCTGATGTTGTCAAAGACAAACAGTTAAACACTTAGGGAAACACCTCCCACTTTCCCAGGCTCAGCTACAGTTTATTACCTCTCCTCCCTGCTACCTAGTCTCGGCCTCCCATGTTTTATTCTCTGTAACGCTCAGTCCCTTCTAATCCCTTTGATGAGTGCTGGGTAGCACAGGAGTTTGGAGTCACTGTGTAAAGGTTTCTTTCTGCAAGTCCTTGCTTGTTAGTGTTTTTCCTCAGGTGCTCCTTGCTTCTTGCTTCTCCTCTGCTCTTGCATGGGTTCTCGATGGGCTGCAGTCCTTTCAGGGTTGTCCCTGCTCTAGCATGGGTCCTCCAGAGGCTGCAGTTGCCTCAAAGTGTACTCCTCTGCCGTGGAACACCTCTTTCCAAGAGTACTTTTCCAGCCACGTCCCCAACAATGTCCCCTACCACATGTCTCCTTTTCTCCTTCCTTTTCTCCAAATGTGTCTTTTTACATACCTTGCATTTCTCCTCCTGTGCCTCCTCATGTCTCCTTTTGTGTGTCTTCTCTTGTGTCTCCTGCCCCTAGTGGCTATTGCCCTTTCCAAAATACGTTTGAGCAAAGGTAGCTTGTGCTGCTCTGACTGGTTGAGGTTTTGATTGATCGTTGTTTTCATCCATTTTGGAGATGGCTGGAATCGACTGTGACTGGCAGGGGACTGTTCATGGCATCCTCTCACACAGATTACCCCTGCAGTCCCCTACTGCTGAAGCAGAATAGTGCTCTGTCAGGCTGCTCAGTCTGTATAATTTCTTGACTTTCATGGGAACACAGCAAAGCTAAATTTGCTCCTAAACTTTTATTATGTCTGGTTGAGAATCCATTAAAATTAGTTTTGCAAGGATGACCCATATTTGAACCAGTATCCGAAGAGTTTCCATCTGTTCAAATTGTCACTATAGCCCGATATGCACCCTTTGAAAGTTTGCCTGAAATTCTCCACATCCACTTCTTCTCAAGGCTGGTTTTTCCTCTCTCTTCCATTAACTCATTCCCTGCCCCTCAAAGGGTCATCTTGGTGTATACAAATTTTCCTTCTTGTTTCTTTATAGATAATGGGGTTTCAGCACCTTGTTTTGTTCTGCACGTTTCCCACTTCTGATGTGTGTCAAACTGTCCTTCTGAAATTTCTTATGTGCCGGCATCTGTGCGAGAAGAATCACTTCAGTTGCTTCTTACCTTTCAACTTGGATCCATGTCCAACAGATGGAGGCTTTGAAAAGCCATAAATATTATTCTTGGCACTAGAAAAAGGTGTTGTGGGTATGTGTGGCTAGTAATTGGTCTCGGCTTTGTAAAAATGGTTACACTGGTTGGAAAAGCAGCCAGGTGGAAGGTAGCATAACAGCATCTGCTCCCATCAAACTCTCCTGGGCATGTCACCATGCTAATGCTGAAACTGTGGGAACTGAAGAGGTCAGTGGTTACATGATGGCCATTGTGTTTCTGGCACAGAAGTAGTTTCTAATTTGTGTGTAGAGGAGCTGGAGCTGTTTTCTTCTCAGCTACAGACCTGATTCTTCTCCCAGGGGAATAAGGAGAGCTTCTGTAATGACACCATTAGGAAAAGATTAAGATCTGTAAATGTAAAATGCCTTCCCGTCCCGATGTGTGCTTCGGTTATGTTTCATGAACATGGCCTAAATGCAGTCATGGACATTTACATTCTTCTGTTTCAGAAACAGATGGAATTAGGAGTTTTGCCAGCCCTTCCCTAAAGGCTTGGTGGTCAATCTCTAGCATAGTCTTTCCTTGCATTCATTTTTTTTTAGAGTTGAGTTAAACAGGGGTTTAAAATAAAAACAAGTGATAACTCTTTCATATAATATTAAACTACTGGAATAAATATTACATCTATTTTCACTGCGTGCTTTTTTGATGTCTCTGATGTCCTAATGTACAAGTTCTCTATTCAGCCCATAAACTTTCCATAGAAAATACTGGGTTTTTATAGTTTTCTTATAAATACACTTTACAAGAGCTGTGGCTTTGCTTCCCAGTTTATTCCTGCTTCATTCCTCAAACGCTTGCAGCCATATAAGATGTCTCACAGCCTTGCACTTCCCACACCCAACTTTTTATCGAGGTACTATGTCGCTACTAATGTGGTCACCACAAATGTATTATTTTGCCAAGCCTGCTCTTTCTGTCATGTTTTCTGCCTTGAATCAGCCTGGAGTTCAGATGTGTAGCTGCTGCTTTTCTGTTTCTGCTCTTTATTCCTCCATCTCCAGGAAGAGAATAAAGTCTGCTTAGATGTGAGACGTGGGAGCCAGTGTGTGGAACGTGCATAGTCTGCCTCATGTCTTGGTGTCCACTCTCAAACAGTTCTGTGGTGCTAGCTGTGAATTGGGTCTAAGCTTGCTTCTCCTGTTCACTGCTGAAGCTGTCAGTAGCACAGCCTTCTCTGCTTCTTTGCCTGGTTTTTAAATCCTGGACCTGAGTCTTCTGCAGTTTCCTGCTCTCATTCCAAGCAATTTCAAATTCTGTACCAGTGACCCTGTAGCTTCACGTTTCATTCATGTTACTGTTAATACCATTTCCCTCATCTGTCACCATGACCATCGTTTCTTTGCATCTCTACACTGGCCTTTCCTCTTACATTGAACATAAAGCTGCTTGTCTTCATTTCCCTTGGCCCTGAAGGGCATAATCTCACTGTCATCTCTTAAAATCAAGATGTAAAATGTGACTGTCTTCAGTGCCTGCAATGTATGCTTGTTCCATAATTGGACAAAGATCCCTTCACCTGTCCCAGCCAGTGCCCCACCTTCCTGTTTATGGGAGCTCCCCATACCCTTCCACAAAGCTAAGCTTCCTTCTCTATCTCTCTTCTGAAGAATATTCCTTTTTTGAGGATGCCTGCAAGAGCCTGAAAGCACTTCTAATTCACTGTATCATGTCACACTGATAAATTCTATGTAACTGTTTCCATGTACTTCCCCATTGTTGTTTATTTTCTTGTACTTAGATTCACAGAATGACAGACTCATTTAGGTTGGAAGGGATCTCTTCATATTGTCTAGTCTGGTCCTACTGCTCAAGCAGTGTCAGCTGCAGCAGGTTGCCCGGGATTGTGGTGTCCAGTTGGGTTTTGAGTATCCTCCAAGGATGGAGAGTCTACAACCTTTCTGGGCAGCTTGTGCCACTGTTTGACCACCCTTACAGTAAATAAGTTGGTTTTGGTTTGGGTTTTTTTTGTTGTTGTTTTTTTCTTGTTTTCAGATGGAATTTAACGTGTTTTAGTTTGAGCCCATTGTTTCTTGTCCTATCACTGGGCACTGTTGAGAGGAGGCCAGCTCCCTCTTCTTCATGGCCTCCTGTCATGTATTTATATGCATTGATAAAAACTCCCCTTGAGTCTTCTCCAGGCTGAACGGTCCCAGCTGTCTAAGCCTCTCCCTATATGAAAGGTTCTCCAGCCCCTTAATCATTTTTGTGGACCTTTTGCTGGACTCGCTCCCGTATGTCCACAACTTTCTTGTGCTGAGGAGCCCAGAACTCGACCCAGCACTCCAGATGTTGCCTCAGCAGTGCTGAGTAGAGATGGAAGGATCCACCTCCCTTGACCTGCTGGCAACATCCCTCCTAATGCAGCCTGGGATGCTGTTGGCTGCCTTTGCCAGGAGAGTGCATTGCTGGCTCGTTGTCAGCATGTTGTCAAGCAGGACCCCATCCATTCAGCCAGTTTTCAATCCACCTCCTTGTCCGCCCTATCTAACCCATACTTTGTCAGGTTGCGTACGAGGATGTTGTGGGAGGTGGAGTCAAAAGCCTTACTAGAGTCACAACATATACAGCTCTGTACTCATCCACCAAGCTAGTCACTTCACTGGAGAAACTATCAGGTTGGTTAAGTATGATTTCCCATTTGTAAATTGATGTGGACTACTTCCAAACCCCTTCTTGTCCTTCATGTATCTGGAAATGGTTTCCAGGATTACATGCTCCATCACCTCCCAGGGACTGAGGTGAGGCTGACTGGCCTGTTATTTCCTGGATCTTCCTTCTTGCCTTTCTGAATGTTTTAGGGTGAGTGGCTTTCCTTCTTTGCACTGGCAATCTTGATCCTTGTTTACATCTTCTACACGCTATGGTAATGTAATTATTAAGCAAAGCATATGATTCTTCTTTTTATTGGTAGTTTTAAGCTATACAGATGCAAGCTGGGAAACAGAATTTGCAGCCCAAAGTTCTGCGCCTGAAACTCAGAGCTCTACTGTGTGAACTAACGAGTACTTTTCTAAGGTAGAAAATAGTGTGACAGAGTGTCATCCCGCTGCTGATCGCTATAGATAGATAATTCCATCGTGCATCTTTTCCCTGGGGTCATAGCTTTCTAAACCTGTATTTGTATTATTTCTCTGTTCCAGGCCGAAATGAGCTGATTGCGCGCTATATTAAGCTGAGAACAGGGAAAACACGCACAAGGAAACAGGTAAGTGTAAAGTTTTCCCTGTAAACATTAGCTTCTTTGTATCACTAGACATGATGAGGTGTTATGAGAACAACTCACTTGCTGTTCACTTGCTATTAGTTTCTGGCTTTGCTGGAAAGACATTGTTGTGCTGAGCTGGTTAATAAGGATAACAGGAAGAGTCAGCTCAGGCATTTTACAGTAGGATTATAATGCTCATGTCTCCCAACCACATCGTGACACACAAATTTTTGTTCTGTTAAACGGTGTGTGATTTTATTTGTTTGGTCTACTAATGAATGTTTCGGTGGACATCAGTGGTCCTCCATATGAAGATTCTTTGTTCAGCCCAGACAGATGGACACCAATGGTGATTTTGAAAATGCCTGGTGCATGGGATGAAAAAGGAATCTTTGTAATTTGGGAATGATAGTCTAGGCTGTGCTGGACAAAGCACTGAGCAACCTGGACCTGCTTTGGGTAAGGGATTGGTGGGTAACATCCAGAAGTTCCTTCTAACCCAAATTATTCTGTGATGCGTTTTGGCCCACATTAGATATGGGGAAGTTCTGAGAGTCATTATGTAGTGGCCAGGGATGTGGAACATGGGTTTCCCTTCTCCCAAGAGGAGGCCAAGATGGGGGGCAAAGAGATCAGAACTCTCAGTCCCTAGATTTAAGGATGGGGTCTTTAGTTTTAGAGGAGGTCTCTGGCTTGATAAAGCCATCTGAATTGGAAAAGGCCTTAAATGGCCCATCTTTGCTGGTCCCCTACCTCACTTCATGACACTTAAGTTATGTTCAGAAAAGCATCTCATTGCTGCCTCAGCCACCTCTCCCCCAACCCTAAATAACTCCCTATTGCACAACGTGCCTAAAGTATGTTTACTTCTGCAAGCAGCTACCAAGTACTCCACTGGAATGAAGATGGATTTTGTCTTTCAATGCAGGTATCTAGTCACATCCAGGTCCTGGCAAGGCGGAAAGCTAGAGAGATCCAAGCCAAGCTCAAGGTATGATGGGTATCCTTTAACATATCACACAAGCCCCCTGAGTCAGCCATTCCCTCTTTGAATAGCCTTAAAAATGGATGAGATAGCCACTGAACTGTAGTAAGCTGGGGAGGAAAAGGTACTTCCCAGGTAGTGTCGTGCAAACACTTGTATTGTTGTAGCTCTGTGACGTCTGGAGCAATTCTATTTAAAGAATAAAGAAACAGTAACTTTACATTTTATGTGTCTGATTTCTACCTCTGGTTTATGCTGCTGTCATCCAAGTCTGAAAGACCCTTAGACTTGGGAGTTGCAAAGAGTGTTTACCTGAGAAGGAGGGGTTTATGGTTACAAATGCTGACCAGTAATCAGTCTCTGGTGTTGTGGTGACCTTGGGAAAGGGTAGCCTTACAGTTACTGCGGTGCTAGTTCCGCCTCTACGTGTGGTAGTGATGTGGAGTTGTCTGTGGGAAGTGTTCTGAGTTGGCATAACCATTGAGAGGAAGCAACAAAGGCACCTGGCATCTTCTCAGGTAAAATGGTGCCAGCTGAATAGACTTTGCCCCTTGATTAATTCAGACCTGATTTGAAGAGGCCTGGGCTAATGAGAAAGAAAATGGTTGACTACTAGCCTGAGCAAATCTGTGTTTTCCTTTCCATAGGAAGAGCTGTGAGATCACGCTAATGGACTGATACCTCTTGACATTTATTTCCACTCAGATTTGAAGCAGGGAGATGGTTCATGTGCTCAGACTGAATTGCCAGAAATGTCAAGAAGATCAAGTTTATGGTGACAATTGCACAGGAGGGTGTCCCCTGTTAGAATGTGAGCCATCCAGGAAGGGCTTGCCGAGCAGGATGTGAGGTCTGGTCCTTGTTATGTATCACCGAGGCAGCCAGAGAAGGAAGGTGCATGCTGACCTTCCCGATCTGGTATGGCAATAAGTGATCTGGAGGGAAGTGTGTTTGCTTCCCTGATCTTCTGTGCTTCAGGTGATGGTGAGGATCTTGACAGCCCAGTCCAGCCCTGACTGTTGAGTGGATGGCTGTTAGTATGTGCTTCCTCTTGGCTGTCTGGGCAGCTCCTTGCTGGGCACCAGGAGAAGCAGACTGTCTGTGAGCGAACTGTTGGCACTCCGTCTTGACCAGAGCTGGAGTGCATGCATCTCTATTGCAAACAGTGATTACCTCTAAGTCATGACTGCACCCCCCACATCCCACCCCCAGCTCCTTTTTAGAAAATGGTGTGTCTGTCATTAGCCTGTTGTGTTTCCAGCTGCTCTGATAAAGAGAAGGAGCCACTTCTAATTCTATCTATCTAATTCAGTGCTTCTGGGTAGGGCTGCCTAAGCTTGAAACCTGTGGTGCTGTTAAGTGGTCAATTCAGGTGGAGGCCTGCTTGAGAGGCAAGTTAGAGCGAGTAGGAAACAACAACTGCCCGGGGTGTTAAAAGATTTACTGCTTCTTATATCTGTAACCTTGATTCCGTTCCTTGCATGTCACAGCTCTGGGATTTGGCATGATTGAAAAGCCAGTCAGCCGAGCCTGTTTCCACTTAGCACACAGGAGCTGGCCGGTTTTGTTCTCAGGGAACGAAGGTGTCTCAGGGAGCTCCACGGAGCCATTGGTTGTTCTCCTTTTACACCACCCCAGGCCATGCTGTGAGCTCTGCCCAGCTGCCTGCAGTGAACCATTCCCCAGTAGCAGACTGTTCCTTTCTGCCTGCAGAGGCAAGTCTGTAGCACTGATTCAACTCATTTACTTCTTTGCTTTCGCTAGTCATTTTCATAGAGCAAGGAAATGAAATCGCAAAAGCTGCTGCCCTTCTTCCAAGTTCCTGCTGATAGCTGTGTGCTCTTCTATCAGTGTTCATTTTCCATAGCGAAAATACGTTTTCATGTTTGTATCTTAGAGATCAGAGCAGCTACACGCTGACTTTTCAGGGCGATTACTAAAATACTACTGTCTCCACACAAATTGGGGTGTCTTCTCTAAGTGTGCACTGTGGCTATAACAGATCAAGGTAGGGTAAAGCTTGGAGAAAAATCTCTTCCCAGAAGTCAGCAGTTTTCCATGTCCTGGGTGGCTAATAGGTATCACCTGTACCAAGGAAAAACAGGGAAATTGTGGTGGTATTATTATTATTCATTTTGAGAATTATAAAAGAAAATACAAACATTGCAAATGTTTGGTAAAAGTTTTTGTTGCTTTTTTTTTAAAACTGGAAGCACGATACAAATGAATACAGAACTGTTAGCTGAAAGAGGAAGGAGATGTCTTACAAAAACATGCTTTTTCCAGCAGTCTGTCAGGCATTTAAACAAAACAGAAAAACACAACAGGGATTAACAGATAAAAGCTTTTCTTAATTGTTCATTTCTTTTTTTACTTTAATACTTCCACAAGTAAATGCTTATTCCCCATAAACTCATGTATAAACTCAGGTAGAGAAATATGATTTTTCCGGTGAGAAAGTAAGGGGAGGAAAAAAATCTGGTTCTGCAATGACAACTGGGTAATGGTCCTTATGTATGTCATGAAAAAACAGAAAAGAATCCTTACCCTTAAAACATGTTGTAGGTAATTGTTAAAGTATTCCCTAAAGCATCATTTAAACTGGATTCTGAAAAACTTTCCCATAGCTTTGGAGAAGTTTAGGAACTTTCTCAGCAATTAAAATGTTTCCCCTCCATTCACTTGAATGGTACTAGCAGGAGTCACAGATACTGTAAAAAAGAAGATACATAAGTGTTGCCCATTTCTACTGATCATTCCACTTAAACGTTATCATTTATTCTGGAGCTTTTGTTATGCCTCCTCCAAATGTTTTTGTGTTAGACACATCAGGATTCCTGGGCTTTGAAACATTAGAAAACCTTAGAGAAAGTGGAGGAGTTGAGAGAAAGGAGACCCAAGGGTGAGAACTTACTGCAGTTCAATGAATGCAAGCGGGAAGTGAGAATTCCTGAAGACGGCAGTAAGAGCTTACCTCTTTCAGCAGTTTCTGCAAGTCATGAATTCATCTGTGGCATTGCCATTATAATTACAATGTCACAGATAAATGTGGAGTGTTTGAAGGATGGAGTTTAATTGTAGGGGATATAGGAGGAAAGGCAGAATGTGAGGAAGTACTTCTGGTTGTCTATGTATTCCTTGGAAGAAGAAATGAAGAATGCTATTTGTCTTAATCATACATCAGACCCGCTAGCTGTTGCACTGTCATTGCCTGTAAAAATGTGTGCAGTTCCACAGCTCTGTTAAAATAAAAAGGGGTACATCCTTGCATATGTGCCCTGAGAGATTATTAAGATTTCCTGTTTCCCCAGGGATGGGAATAAAATGATCAATTCTACCTGAGACTAATGCAGTCCCAGACTGAGGTAGTCTTTTTGCAGTGATGATGACAAACTCCTTTTGTGAACTTCTTTTTAGAGGGTTAAAAAAACCCATAAGAAGAGTCGTTCCCATTGAATATTCTTATCAGTCATTAAAACACAAGAGTCAATTAGGGTTGTACTTTCCATTACAAAACATTTCAGCTGTGCAGCTGAAAGCCTTCAGACAGAAAGGATAAATACTTAGCAGTCTCTAAGCCAGTGATCCCAGCATTTCAGAAAGGATGGTTAGTCACATCTGAAGCTACAGTAATGGGTGAAAGACTTACATGCTTTGAAGAGTTCTTAGGACAGTTATTGGTGAGTCTCTGCTGCCCAGGTTTTCAGAGGTGCTTGTTCCCTACAAAGAAGCTGATGAGAATCCTGGTTATGCAGCATTAGACCAGGCAAGTTCTTTATCATTATAATAATTCTGTTTTTTCTGTCTCTCCTCTTGCCCATAGGATCAGGCAGCTAAAGATAAAGCCATGCAGAGTATGGCTACAATGTCATCTGCACAGATTATCTCTGCAACTGCCTTCCATAGTAAAATGGCCTTGCCTGGTCTCCCACGACCAGCCTACCCTGCTGTTTCTGGGGTGAGTGAATCAGTGTCTTGGTGGAGTTGGGCTGAATACACTTGAGTATTTGAAAGGGTGTTGAGACCTGCTGGGGAAAATCCCGAGAACATCAGAAAGAGTGGGCCAAAAGGCATTGTCTTTGTAGAACAAATCTGTCATATGGTTCAACAGTTTGGGTCTGATTCTTTGCTCACACTGATGTAAAACAATAGAGTTTCACTATATATGCTTTTTTTTTTAAATGACACAAGTGAGAGAACAATCAGATCCTTTGGGTTTTCAGCTGCCTGAAATATTTGTAGGTGTAGGTATCACTTTCTTAGTCCAGGATCTTGTTGAATTAAAACCGTTTGGGCCATCCTGACCCTTTCTCAAGCTTATCATTCCCAAGCTCATCCTGAGTGCTTAGATCACACATTGATGGCCCTTATATAAAATCCTTAAGAGATGAGGCCTGTCAGCATCCCCCAACCACTGAGCAGGGCCTAGTGAGCTTTTGCTGAGCATTGATTTCTGCCAAAATACTGCCCTGCAGCTCTCCTGGGGAAAGTGGTCCCTCCAAGAGAAAGACCATCGTTAAAGCTTTGGAGATGGAGGCACAAGGTGCATTCATAGTATTTAACATTAAAAACCACCGCTGGGTCAGTCACTTGTATGTCACTAGTAGTAGTGCGTTGTCAGCACCTCCACAAGGATGAAACCACGAATGTAGAAAGAAGAGATATAACTCAGTCACATCGTTAGAAGGCTGTGAGCTTGCAGTTTCTTTCCTCAGAAAGGAGCAAGCCTTGCTTTTCATCTCTGTTCTAAGAGTGGTGACTTTTGCCTGTATGTTGTTCTTTTGCAGTTTTGGCAAGGAGCTTTGCCAGGCCAAGCCGGATCTTCCCAAGAGTGAGTATTCCTTCATGTGAGCATCCAAAGGAGGTGCTTCTACTGCTTCCTCTATGCTGCCCGAGGAACACCATTAGCTATTACAAGATTTATAAAATGCTAAGATAACGTAGCCTTTGCTCTCAGACAGATTCCCTGACCATGGATCTGAGACTTAAGGCCCACGGTTGAAGACAAACTTAGAGTCATGAGAGAATCTTAAATAGATAAAACCCTATGTCTTTGTATGGTACCTTCAAGATGGATTACACCCCTTTACTGTGTCCTGTGACTCAGGCAGCCTAATATGGGTTATTTTAGGGAGCTGCTGAATCTAGCAGCCTGATGGAGGTGAGGCTGCCGCAGCTCTGTGCTCCCAGGTTCAACCAGTAGCGAGGCTCAGCGTGTATTCCCAGTAGGCACACACACAAATACGCATATATACATTGCACGTACACACATATGCACACAGCTGGCCATACAGAACAGCAAAGACAGACAACGCTCAGCACTCGCACAAACACAAACGGCACCAGCAGCCTCATCCTGTACCCCTCTCTGGCTGCTGAGGGCGAAGGTGCGTTAGTGAGAAACCCTGGTGCACTGCAGATCCACCCAGCAGCTGCCCAGGGATGGATCCCTTGTCTCCCGGTGTGCTGGCACCCAGGCAGGTGAGCCCCTGAGGCTACAGCCCCGCTCCAGTTGCTGGTGCAGGCCTCTCACTCACACACACAAACACACATGTGCGTGCGCACACACATGCGTGCACAAACACACACACACAGAGTAAGTCCCTCCAGTAACTGGGCTTAGATACACAGTCCACCCAGTAGCTGGATCTTCACTTTCCTCATCTTGCAGTCGACTTCCAGACTCCACAGTCCCTCTGTCATTTGGCCTGAACCTCTTGGTCCCTCGGAAAGCATCCTTAACCCTGGAGACACACGGCTGGCTCCCAAACCGCCTACTTGCTGGTTAGTCTAGCTTGATAATCGCTAGTGATCACACCCCACTTGCTGCTGGCACTCCAGAAACAAACACACACACGCAGAACTGAGAGCTCCTCATGCAGGAAAACAATTAGAAGTCGAATTTAGTGAGGAGATAGGACAGACTGCACCGACAAGGTGCAGGGCGCGGACAGATAACTGTACTGACCTTCTTACACATGACTGGCACCTTTTATCGCCATATTCTCCCTAAACATCCCCTAAACTGCTCTTGTGCAGTCCTAAAATGCTCTTCCCTTGCATTCCATAACATGTCCCATACCGTCTAGGCAGTAACCCCCTGAATTTGTAAGGTGACTGGTTTGTAAGCCCCAGCTGGCTCACTGGGTTGGTGTCACACCTGGATGATGGGGCTGATGGCTCTTGTGGGACAGCCCTGGGAGGGGCTGGGGCAGGGGCTCTGTTTCTCTGGTGGCTTACTGGGGCTCCCCTGCCCCAGGGGGAGATGAGCCTTTGATGGGCTGATCACCAGGGATGGCCCTGGGTGTAGTTGTGTCAGAGTATTATTCAGGTTGTTCCACCTGCCCTTGTTCCTCTGTGCTCCTTTTGTTTGTATGGAGACACACTTTTTATCATGTAACCTAACAGGAGCAATTTAAGGACTAGCAGCTGGAAGGGTGTATGTTCTCGACCCAAGCCATGTTTTCCTGCTCTCTTGTGGTGCTATGGCTAATGTTTGTGGAGCAGATCAGGGAACAGATGCTATTAAAATACCTTGTGGGGAAAAATGGCTAGTAAAAGAATGGAAGCCATCCTAGGAGAAGTAAAAAGTAGATTTTATGCCTTTAGTTTGACAGTGAATGAGGAAGCATCAATATGAGAGCTTCTTTTAGAAGCTTGAAGTATCTGCCACCCCTGATGTCAGATTATGTCTCCAGATCCTGATTTTTCTTACAGTGGTGTTAAAAGGGAGCTGAGCTGTCTTGAAACCTAGGTTCAGTTGTGGGTGTTGAACATCTCTGAATCTGGGCCTAAATGTCTGAGAGGTATCCAGACCAGACGTATATCCACTTGCATAAATTTAAATCTATCTGTGGTTGAAAGGAAAGGATAAATGGATGGGCACCAGTGTATTAACAGTCTGATAAGGATCTCTGAATAACAAGTCTGCAGAGAGAGCCTCCTGACCCACCTGCAGGGAAATCTTATTCAGTCCAGTATAGGCCCCTTACTGTTTTTTGAATTTTTCTCCATGACACTCTCTTGCCCACACAGAAAGATAATTTCCCAAAGACACTTAGGCCACTTTCTCCCTCAGGAGAAATAACTTGATCTAATTTGCACAAACAGTTGGTCAAGAACCCTTTTTTGGTTTGTTTTTTTGTTAACCATCTCTCTTTGTGTACTTTCGTAGCGTGAAACCTTTTTCTCAACAACCTTATGCTGTACAGCCTCCGCTGCCATTACCAGGTAGGTAAGGAAATGTAGTTCCTTGCTTTGAAATTATATTCCAACTTCAAAAATAGCCAGCACTTTAAGAAGATTAAAAAATATATATAAAAAAAATTTTACCTATTGAAACATTTCAGAGAACCCCAAATTAATTTTTGTATGATTTCCCCTTATCACTCGTTCCCATCCTTTTAATGAGAGAGCTGAAGCTTTTTAATTTTGTTTTATTTTAAAAAACATTTTTTCCTGTTTTAGGTCAGTTGTTTGGGGGTTTCTTTTCCTCCTGGCTCAGCAGAAAATAAAAGTTTATGTATCTCTACTGTTCTTCCACCATGCTGCATGTACAAGAACACTATTTTCCATCATAACATGATTAACTTTCCAATTTCTCATTAAGTGGAACAACAAATGTCTTTTCCTTCTCCGTGTCCCCATTTTGAGAGGTTAATGGTGGTGCTTCATTGTGATACTAAAGCAGTTTATTTCACTGCTCATTTACGGCTCAATCTAGGTCCTCCTAAAGTTGCCAAACGTGTTTTCTCTGGTGTCAAAAACAGGTAGATTGTCTTTTACATCATTACCAACCCTGACAGTGCCATTTAGAGCACAGGTAGAGTGAGGACCTTGTGAATGATATTTTTGCATGATGACTGAAGTCATAAGAAAATGTAATTAGTCAGCTTTGACAGCAGGTGCTCTACTGGAAAACTATTACCAACTTTTCTCTTTCTAAATTTTGTTATATAAATCCTGTGTGCTTAGGGTTTGAGTCTCCTACTGGCCTCTCGCCTTCCCCATCAGCACCAGCTTGGCAAGGACGAAGGGTTGCTAGCTCCAAACTTTGGATGTTAGAATTCTCTGCATTCTTGGAACAACAACAAGACCAAGATACAGTAAGATACACACCTGACTTCCACCCCTCATTAATTTTTGGTCTTCAGGTAGCTCCCGTTCATCATGGATATGTTATACTACTATATGTGTATGGAAATACTTGCTTCATTGCTCTGAGAATAGAAAGCCATCTTGGGGAAACATAAGATATTCTTGTCTTAGAGGATGGAATTGCCTATAGCGATATAGCCAGCTCTGTGCCATGTGCTTCTGGCCTCCCTTTCCAGGGTCATGGATGTTCACATACCAGAGCTCAAGGCACTGAGGTGATAAGACAGTGGTACAGCCCCTGCCGGGCTATTCTATCTGTCCCGTTCAGCCTTGGAGGATAGACCCAGAATCAGATGATGGTAAGATCACATGAAGCCACGTATTTCTCTGATGTGCTGGGAACTTAAATTTGGGGGCAACTGGGATGAATTTTTATCAATGTATTTCCATGGTTTCATAGATGTTATAAAGCAGGAGTAGTAATATTTGCCTGTCTCACTAAACCTTGTGATACTGCATCTTGAGACGTACATTGGTGATGGGCCAGTTACATTTCCTCTGTCTGAGATAGAAAAGTTCAGAAAAGATGATAGTATTTGGCTGGTACCTTGCTATGGGATTGAAGGCAGCTCTTCATAGGACAAGAGGGTTGATGTTTGACTGAGTGACCTGTGACAGGTAACACTCTATCTCAGGTTATTTCAGACTATATAGCAGCAGCATGAGACAATGTTTTAGGAGTAAATATAGGAAAAAAACCATAATAATGTTTCAGAAGAAGCAAGAAGCATGGTTGTATTGATAGGAAAGAGAACAGCATGAGCTGGTATTAGCAGAGGTATTTCTGCTAATACTTCTGCCCTTTTTAGAAAGTGCTATCAAATCTTCAGTGACTTCCTGTATTCTTCCGTATACGAACCATGAATGTTCAGTATGTTCTGAACAGTACTGGACGATTTCCTAATTCCATGTTTTTCCTCTTCTTGCAGTATAACAAACACCTGTTTGTGCACATTGGGCAGTCAAGCCCCAGCTACAATGACCCCTACCTCGAGGCAGTGGATATCCGGCAGATCTATGACAAGTTCCCTGAGAAAAAAGGAGGCCTGAAGGAGCTCTTTGAAAGGGGGCCAGCTAATGCCTTCTTCCTCGTCAAATTCTGGGTAAGGGAAGGACCCTTTGTAGGGTACCCATTTGCTGTGAAGTTCTCACTTTAAAAGCAGTGGCCTCGCGAGCTGTTAAAAGACTGCTGCCTCCCAACAAATTTTCCCTGTGCAGGCAACTTAATGCAGCCACGACTGTCACTGGAGATCTTTTCTTGACTGCACGAGGCACTCATTCTGGCCTGGAGCAAGATGTATCTTTCACAGTGTCATCTGTAGAGTTGTTCTTGACTAGTGTCTGGAGATTTTATTTGCTACTGGTGACTTGGGCCCTTTTTTATTTATGTATAAGAGAAGAATTCAGAGGAAATTATTCTCTGTGTACTCTTATGTGTGTTCACTTTTCTCGGTGTTGAGTAACTTCTCAGTCAGAGGCAACATTTTTCCATCTCTTCTCTATCTCATTAGCTGCATTTTGTGTTATCCAAGTACTAATAATTTACAGATGCATATTTACTGGAGGCACAAGGACAGACAAAAGATAAGAGAGACATATAATGAAATTGGATTATGCTGATAATATATTACTGAAATGACTTCTGGTAAGTTGGCAAAATCAGCCTGGCAAAAGCCTCCTCACTCAATTTGGATTTTTGTGAGTTAGCTGAAATTTGCAAAAACTGTGCCATTGTGCTTCAGGGTACAAACAAAATAGTTTTGGTGATCGATATTATCAGAGGTATTACGAGATTAAAAATAATAGCAGCTTGGGGCAGTTGCACACTAGATGGCTGAGGGAATGTGTAATGGGATTTGGAGCCTTTCACCTTGAGTTTACCACTTATAATTCAACCCCAGGTCAGGAGTGAGATGATGAGAAATGAGCTTTCATATCTCTTACTCTTCATACAAACTGGCACTAGAAAGCCTCCTAACTGGTGCTTTCAGGAGGAGTTCACCGAAGTGCCTTGAGGTGCAACTTCCCAGCTGTCCCAAGGCCACCCTTTCCAGAACTGAGTTGGAGAATGTTGGCTGGGAGTCTGCTGTTCAAGTGTCTGGTGCTTAGAGCGTTAGTGGCTGGTGATTCTTGGGGAATCACTTACTACCCGCAGACTATGTGCTACTGAGCTAGGCTTCTCATGGGATTCGCCTCTGTGAGAGTACAACAAAGCCTGTTTGGGAAAGTTGAAACAAAAAGTAAAAGACCAGCCCTGTTCCGGGTGGAAGAGAAATACTTGGGAGCGACAGCAGCACCTTGCTGAGAAGGGTATCCTTTGACAAAAGCTGGGTATTGATTGCCCTAAGAACTGCCTGGAAAAGGAAACAGAAGTCTGATGTGACAAAAGAATGGAAAAAGAGGAAGAGGGGATAGCTTCTAAGAAATGGTCCTTGGAAAAGTAGGAGCTGCGAGATCTGCTTCCTGCTGTGGGATGGGGATCTCGGGAAACAATTCACATCCTGGTGAAGAGCACTGGCTCCTGTGTGCTGTCACTCTAAAGTGCTTTGGGAGTTTCAGGACCCAAAAGGAAGAGCTTAGAGGGAGATGTTACGCAGAGAGAATAAAACACTGAATTCCTTGAATTAAGGAGAGAGAAATCATCATGAAATTGTGATCTAGTGCAACTGTGATTTTATTTATCGAAACTGTTAGTGTGTGTTTGCGCTTGTAGGGTTGGGTTTGGGGATTGTGTGTGTTTGGTTTTTAATATCAGAAGGGTAAGTGTGGCCTATGTATCATGTCAGACCAACCTAAGTTAGGCTTTTGAAGGATTTACAGGGTGGGATGTCGTTAAGTTGGACTCTCTCTGGGTCCACGTGAGGTGTCTGGTGTCCAGAGGGTATCAACTCACTGAAATTCGGCTTGCATAGAGATGTGACATAGGATTTGAAACACCTTTACACCAACGTATACATGCTGTCCTGGGGCTCTGCATCTGTACACTTATAATGACAGTGATATTTCTGGGCTTGGTTTAATATTTTGACTTTCTGATTATTTTTTTTTTTTTTTTTTTTTGGTAGCCTTGCATTGTTGAATCCCATCTGGAGTTAACATCAGGTTTTATTGGTGGAAACGTTACAGGCTGTCACTTACAAATAAGCAAAGTTTACAAGTCAAGTCATTGATTGAATGGAGGCTTCTAAGGCTTTTAAGTAAATCATTTGGTCTTGTATTTGTTTCTCAGTGTAGACAGTAGCAGGGATGAAAACACCATTCCTCATGTCATATTCTGGATAAGAAAGGATTGGGGCACTTTTATGATTTGCGGTGTGTTTCACAGGAGTACTTACGTTAATCCTGTTGTAAGATTTCAGCTAGGATCTCTAAGGCAATATTAACCAAAGCAGTTCAAAAAAACCTTTTGCTCCAGAAAATTTGGACTTTTTTGAGGAAAACTCCAAACCTTATTGTTGCAAAAATTGTATTCAACGTGCCTGAAATATTGTGGTAATGCAGTCTTATACTTAAACGCAGCGTGTGAGCCATGCCTGTAATGCACCGTGCTAACATGTGTCATGGGAATTCCTGAGTTTGGTGTATTGCAATAGATGTAGTGTAGTGTAGTGCAATGCTCCCCACCCCCCCCAAACACTTTTCACAGATAAGGCAATGTGATTTAAAAAAAGTTTAACAGAAGAAAACTAGATTTCAGCTGAGATTTTTATGCCCCTCTGCATTTTTATACCTCTGTAACAGTATATGCTAGGGTGCTTTTTCATTTTGCTGCCTGATGGCTCTGGACAGCTATACAAATATACTGCTGATGCCCAAAGATGTGTTGGATAAAGCAATTCAACTACACTGTTGAATTTGTAGCATCATTTTAGGATAAAAGTATTATCCAAAAGCAAATTACCAATAACCTTAAACTTGGTGAGTAGAGTTAAATACTTGAAGGGGTGTTTTGAGACATGAAGATATGATTGAATTTTCAAAGGTTCTGAATTGAAGTGGTGGTTGCAGGTGGCAAAGACTTAAAAAATCAAGGCATTGAATAAGTCGGTTTTGTATATATGTAGTTTTAAGCTTGAAGAACCTGAGGCAGGAACCTGCCATTACTGTACTAAGCATTGACTATACCAGATGATCTGTTGTGCACCAGAAGCCTGACTTTAAACACCAGGGTTGGGGTTTCTTGACATCACTGATAGCACTTAGGACCTAGTGTGACTGAGAAAGAGATGTTCATGTTTGTTCAATGGTGCTTTAAATTACTTACACCATAGCTAAAAGTTGGTGGGTTTGAAACATAGGCAGTGTTTGCAATTCTTCCTTGATTTTGGCATTGGGAGTTTGGTACAATGAACTAAGTCTTGGACTTGGATTGGCAGGTTGTGTATGACATCTGTGTGACATTTCTCAGTGCTCCAAGTGCATTCTACCACACGACAATGAATGTGAGACATTAGCCTCCCAACACATGGGCAGTGGCAGCTCTGCTCTTTTCCAGTGTAATATTATCTCTACCACCTGTTACTTGGTTCTCCCCATGGACTCCTCCTATATGCATCGTTATTAATAGTTTGGGGAAGAGGCGTTTTCAGATCTTTGCACATTAGTAGGATGGTGCACTTGCATCTTAAAGCTTTCAGAAGTTGTGAGACTCTAGATGGAGGATAGAAGGAAAATGACAAACTGGGAATTCAGGACAGGCAGTACTTTGTCCAGAGCAGCCATCTGCAGAGGGGTGGATCAGGAGAATTGTTTGGGAGACCTTTCCTGCCAATGATGAATATATGTAGTAATTTCTTCTCCTTGGTGATAGGCAAGCTGAACCAGTCAAAACACTGAGTGTTTTCTTTCCAGTAAGTGAATTATAGTTTTGTGGAAGGGGCCGAAGGGGTGGGCTGGAGACCGCTGTCCTGCACTTGGCTTCTCTCCTGTCCCAAGCAAATCCAGTCAAAACAGCAGCCGCGCAAATTCTCCTCGGCACCCTGCCCTGCCCACTGTATGCTTTCAATCCTGACCTGGGAAAAACTGCTTGGAGAGCAAGGAGATGGTAATTTGGTCTCCATGTCCATTCTGTCCTTGGCACCTCTTCTGAGGCAGCAAACAAGACAGCAGCTAGCAACAGAGATTTTTATGATCTTTGCACATTTTTTCCTAGAATGGATCTGACAGCCCATTAATTTCACCTGCAGTCACCAGCACCACCTCCTACCAGTTGCTACCTTATGTAAGGAGACTCTGTCAATGGCACTTCTTTCACCAAAGTTATTCCCCGCAGTGTTCAACAGTATAGAGATTGTTGACAGCAAAAAGCAGATTGAAAGACTGAATTGCTGAGGAATCTGTCTGCTAGGTGTCAAAATAACACAATCCTGGGGGGCTAGCTAAGTTGCAGCTCCCCGTACTTCTGGCAAGGCCTTCTGCTATCTTTGGTTAGCTCAGAAACTCTCCCCTTCTCCCTTTCTTGGAGGCTGAAGCTGCAGTAGCACAAGTTTTGGACTGCTCTTGAAGAATTGTTCAGCATATGCCTTTCCATGGACCACGTGGGACCTGAGTGCAAGATATCTGCAAGCTGTGGTTTCTCATGGCATTTAAGGCCATGTGGCTAGTAGGAGCCTGGGGGGCAAGGCAACTCAGCCTGCTGACTATGGACTTTCCTAAATCCTGACTATGTCTCCTTTGCCTGCCTAGGCTAGGGTAAGGAACATATTCAAGAGTTATCTCACCTGTTGTTGGACATACTAGTGCATTTGCCAGTGAGGAGCTGAGGCACCTAGGCTCTAGTCTCCAGGTCAGAATCGCATTCAGTTATGTATTCAACAGGTCCATGCATTCCCGGACTATAAAGTGAAGATTAGCCTTCCTACTTGATGAAGCGCTGGGAAGATGAATTTCCTTTAAGTCATAGTCACTATTATTCCCTTGTATCTTTGAGAGTTGGAAAGTAGTGGACAAAGTAAAGCAGACCTTTCTCTGCTCACCTTGGCTGCTCACCCTGGGATTGTGTGTGCTTTGGCACAACGTTTTCTTTAGAGAAGGAAATCAGAAAGTGAAGAGAAAGAAAGAGTCCTTTCCCTAAAGCCACAGTGTGGTCTAGGTGTTTTGAGGAGCTCATAAGAATCTAGACATGGAGGCCGTAGCATTTTTAGATGTTAAGTTAAAAGCAGTAGCTCTTTTGGTCATTAGAGACCCCGTGATGTGCAGTATGATTTTTGTCCTGGTGCAATCCTGGGAAGCATAACTGCAACCATTAGTGATTTACCTCAGTGTCCAGTTGATGTTTAGAAGTTAATTTGGCTATGTCAGCTAACAGTGTTCTTCCTCAATTTTCCGCCTTGTCTCCCTTCAAGGAGGTAATCATCTCCGTAGCAGGGAAAGCGAACAGGTTGGAGTTCTACTCCTGAGCGGTTCTTTGGTCTCGTATTCATGTACACCATTGCCATTTTCAGTTGACATGAACAAACCAGATTGCAAATAATTCAAGAGCAGATATGTGTGTGCTAAATAATCTCTGGTATGGGGGCAGTAACTTCCACGAGAGGATGGGAACCAGCAGCTTTAAGTAAGTAAATAAGCTGTAACTGTAAGGCCAGCAGTATCTGTCTGAGGTGCTGTAGCTCCATTCTCCTGCAAATGTGAACTGGAGCCCTCAGCTAGCTGCTAGTGTCATTCCCTGGAGCTGCTGAAATTCCATGTATGTATGTTTATGGGCTGAGATTTTCAGAGGTGACAGTAGGTGGGTGCACAGCTCTTGTTGACTGACCACCCTAAGACATGTCTGACAGTCCTAGCCCATAATATGGGACATACTTTAGAATAAAAAGTGCAGTGTAAATGCCAGGGAGTTCCAACATGACCCCATTGCTTCACTGCAGCAGGGCTTCCAGGAACCTGATTGTACATAATGTTAGTGAATGGCAATGACTGCTTAATTCAAACAGTGTTACCATAATTTTGCCTACTGCCAAATAGTTTAATGTTGATTAATTAGATGTTAACTAGCTGTGAAATTCTAGTCTGCTCTTTTGACGGGAGACTTGCCAAATTGTGGAGGTACGCTAGAGTGGCTTCTTAGGGCTAGTGAAGCTTTTCTCATGAAGTGGAACTAGCACCTTTCTCCTTTGCCTCATATTGACTGCACTTATTTCTTAATTTGCCATTAAGAGTTCAGGGGAGTATAACCTTAACTTTACTAGTGAGACCCTGAAAATGTTTGCCTGGTTCTGCAGTGAGAACCTCTGCTATGTTTATGTAGCAGTGATCCAACCAAGCTTCAGTAGCCTTGACCCTTTGTTCTTTTGACTCAGTGGGACAATTTCTTTGGAAAAGCGGAACTGGGTCCATACATTGTGTTTATCACCCCCAAGGGAAATAGCTGAACAATATTGCAAAGGACTCCTAGTCTAGTTCCTCTTTGGAGAGGGGAAGGAATTAATGTTTATTCAGACAGCTGGAGTATGGGTCAAATAAACAATACAGTTAGTTGCATTGACATGTAAATGACTATTACAGTAACTCAATAAAAACCTAAACCCAAACAGAGTAGCATTGCTACTCTCTAATACATGTACATTTGTGGGGCAAACAAAGTAGCTGCATAGCTATAGTGGGGAAAATTTGATAGCAAGGACTTCAGCATGACCATAATAATTCACTTGGCAACGTGAATTATGATTAAGTCTGTAATGCCTGCGCCTTGTTCCTATTAATACCTGTGCTGTCAGGTTAAAGTAGCCTGGATTTGCCCACATATGCTACTCCAGTATAGACAAACCGTCAGAGCATAACACTGCATTACAGTCATTTAGATGGTCATGACAATGTAAAAGCTTCCAATCTTCCTTCAGCTGTTGTTTCCAAGTCTTGTGCAAAAGTTATCACTACCTCAGTGGTGCAAAAATGAATGATGTAAAATAATTTTTAAAGAAGTTTTAAATCCAAATTGTTTTACTCATATATTTTAACATGTGTGCCCAAATTTGTTTTCAACTCAGTGAGGAGGCAGAAAACTATAGGGGCAAAAAAGGATAAGTTGTTAAGAGAAGTCAGGAACCTATTCAGCTGGATAAATTGTTTTGTGAAGCTATCTTCTGAGGAGAAACAAGCATGAGAATAAAATAATTGCCGGTTTTGTATGACTATCTCCTGATAAATCAGAGGATGCTCTTGAATATATAGTATGCAGGAGATGAGAAATTTAGGAAAACATAAAGGTATGAGTGCACAGCTGGTGTAAACTGGTATGAATGTAGTATGCATGTAGGGCCAAGCATATTCACAAGGGTTGAAGATCTGTGACTAATTCAGAGGGAGGGATTCGACTTAAGAGGGGGAGTCATAGAGAAGGCAAGCCATTCTGACAAATGGACTTTCTTTCATCCGTAATCTGTGGTGAAAATGTTACAACTGTTAAGGATTTTTGTAGAAACTGTGTGAAACAACACAGTCATTTTGAGGAGTGGTCATGTATTTAAATATCATGCTGTTATGCTGTCCATTAAGGGCAGAGTGAAAGCTGTATGTCCATCCCTAATGCTGCCAGTGTTGATGTGAACAGTGGAGCATTCTGTCGTCTTGCCTGGACTTAATCTTTGTCCTGCTAGAATTATCTGAATGCTACAACTGCTAGTCTAGGAGATAGCCCAGGAGATGCATTGCCCACTGTACTTCATGAAAAACCTCCCCTAAATCTGTCTTTCACTTGCTTCTGAGTTTGTAGTATAAAAAAAAATCATGGTAATTGGATGTTATTGGTTCGTTTGCTTGGATCTTCTGTGGCATCATTTAATGCAGATGGTAGTTTTTCTCTAGGTGGAAGTATGTGTGCACAATGGCACAGTGGCAGCAATGCCCGAGTGTTGTGCTAAGTGGAAAATGGAACTGAATTTTCTGAAATAAACGGGAGGATGGTTTATTTTATGTCCTTTACCACCTCCTCCTTCACACACCTCAAGTGGCAAGTTAACAGCCATGGGAACTGGATTGAATGGAAACGCTGCACATTATTACACAGCTGCTTTTCCTGCTAGTGCTTTTGGCATGACTATTGGCAAAATGATGAATTCTTCTGTGACAACAACTCTGTGCAATGGGAGGTGCTGGTGAGTGTTGTGGTACAGAGATGGCTCAGCCTAACTCTCCAGGGGCAAAACTTTTCAACTTGAAAGGAATGACAACAAAGCATGGCTTCTAGCAGTTTCCTAGTTACTGCTGTAGTTTCTCAAACCCAGAATTCACTAGAAGCAGCAATCCTGCCTTCTGGTTTCCCTATTGCTGCCCATCCTCCCAACACATGTTTTTTGTCTGAACACACACAAGTGCTTCTGAATCAGGTCAGGGAGCCAATCCCACCGAGAACTAGCTGAGCAATTCCTCAGCGAGTCTTGTAATACAGCTACAGAAACATTTGTGTCAGTACAGGAGGAATGGGGAGGCACAAACTGCTCTGGGACAGTGAGACTGCTCTCTCTTGGTGTCAGGACCAGCCTGGTGTTATGAAACTACAGCTTGGAGGTGCAGTTTCCCAAGAGGCTCAAGCCAACCTGAGCATGTGTTGCCATCAAAGTAGGCATTCTTTGTGCCCTCAGCTTTTGTGTGTGTTCTCACCTCTTCCAGCCCCTGCAGCTTTGTGGAGATCCAAGTGATTTTTCTTGTCTTACTGAAAACTAACTCACCAAAACCACAATAAAATTTGTCTTGGATGGGATCAACTCTCTCATCTGGCTAACAACAGAGTCGTGCAATGGCTAATGGTGGCACAAAGGCAACAGCAAGCTTGTGTGGCTACGGATGGGGAGAAGGCTGGACTGGCACTTTCTAGATTGACTTAAACCTCTTGTGAAATTGCTACTTAAGAGAAATAAGCTAACAGTATTATCCCATGGCAGAGACAGGTATTTTGTATGGCAAAGAAAAGGGGGATTCATTATTGAGTGGTCCAGTTCCAAGGCTAGCATTGCTTGTCCCAAGCGCTGCTCTAGATCTCGAATAAAAAACTTTCCCGGATATCGGCTAAGAAAACCATGCTGGAATGGCATCTAATGCAGTCCTACTCACACCGTATCCACTATAGCAGGAATACACTTTGTTCAGTTTCCTGTTTCCCTCAGTTCAGCAGGAAGAATGCAATAGTCTGAAGTAGCCTATGGGAACTGGTCATTGCTTTTCTGCTGATGTAAGCTAGCACCTGGGCTTGTGGAGTACAGAGCAGCTCTACCCTTTTAGTTTTGAAAGGGAGGAAGCTGAGCTGGGCATTCCCGCACCCCTGTTGTGTTTTCCGAGCTTAAGGCAGCCGCCTCTTCTTTTCCTGCACGGGGTTTGAATGACCCCTGGTGGGAACTTCAGACAACCAGGAGTTCTAGGAGTTGAGTCCCAACATGAAGCTTCAGTTGGCCAACCTTAGGCACCCACATTTGAAAACTGTGGCTGCTAATGGAGATGGGTTTGTATTCACGTGGAACTGGGCTGGATCCATCAGCAACCTATATTCCTTACATTGCAATCCTGTCTACTTACATTCTTCATAGCATAGTACCCGAGCCTAATGCGTGTGTGTACTCACATATGCCTTCTCTCTGCTCTGTCTCTTTCCCCTTACCTATGAATTCAGTGTGGAAAAGCTTTATTACAGTTGCTGTACCTTTATTTTTCCACCTTAGTGAGGCAGCCCAGTCTAGCCTGTCTGTTGCATTGCTCTGTCTCTACAGTGCCCTCCTGTCTGCTCTCCACATGCTTTGTGAGTACCTCCATGTTGTACTGGCACTGTGCAGTTACGGTAAATATCGGCTAAGGCAAGGGGCTGTGTCATATGTTTTTAATGTTAAGAGGATATTCCACCAGATTTCCCCAATGTGTATGCAAATCCCCACCACCATTTTCTGAGGTGGGAACTGGATTTTAGTGCATAATCTTCAGATTTCACTGCTTGCTTGATGCGCATTCATCTGCTTAAGGAGCTCTGGATACTCCAGTGCTTTACAATCTTGGCTATGCAAGGTAATGGTGAAAAAACACCACAACCATCTATTGATAACCATCTATTTTTCTTCCCCCTTTTTTTTTTTTGGCAGGCTGATTTGAACACCAATATTGAAGATGAATCCAGGTCTTTCTATGGCGTTTCCAGCCAATATGAGAGCCCAGAAAACATGGTCATTACCTGTTCCACCAAAGTGTGTTCCTTTGGAAAGCAGGTGGTGGAGAAAGTGGAGGTAGGGAGCAGACACCTGGGTGCAAGGTTCTCTCTGGCTTCTGTTTTGTCTCTTCAAGTATTTGCATCTTGCGTATATCTCAAGGCAAAATATATCCCATGCTTGTTGTCAGGGAGATGGATACCATAGATTATTATTTCTGAGATACGCAGGTACAAGATTGCTCTAGCCTGCAACATGGCCTTGTCTCAGGACTTCATTGAAGACCCGGTAGTGTTTGCTATTGTTTCCTTAAATCTCAGTTTCTGAAGACATGTGAATATGTAAGACTCTCAGCTCTGGTGATTCTCTGGGGTTTTTTTGGGGAGTAAAAAAAGCTAGGAAACCTGGACCCTTGTTTTGTAGTCCAGAAAGGTGAAGACAAATAGGCAACACCTCACTCTCATCAGTGTTTTTAAACAGATCATGTATAGACTACAGCTATTAATTAATAGACTGTAATAATTTACAGGCTATAGTCTTATGGTTTTGTGGGCCTTTATTTAGTGCTTCTACACTTACATCTTGAGCAACACTGGAGCTGCATAATTATGCATGTATCCGACAACGAAGAAATTCTTTCTGATGCCACGTTCAGCTGCAAAGAGAGCTGCTCTGACCTGTTTCCTGCTGCTCTCTTTCTCAAGGAGCCTTTAGGTGCAGGAGGAGTGCCTGTGTGCAGAACACCAGTCGTTCTCCTGTCAGCAGTCAGTTCAAGTTATATCCTTCCCCAAGACCCATCTCCAGTCATATGATAGAAATGCCTGAAGTCCGGTTGTGTATTTGCATGATGGGATAGATAGGCCAAAGAAAGGTGTCGTGGTGCACATGAAAGGAAACAAAGCTCTTGGGGGTGAAAGGAGGTAACGGGCAATTAAGGGTATGCTGTGAAATGATAGAATCCAGCCTCAGCTTCTGTTCAAAGGCAGATGAAATATACAGCAGCTAAGATGTGAATGTGAACAAAAAAAATCCCTCTGTGTAACACTGGCCAGAGCCTCTCCTAAGGGGGAGCAGAGATACTATGTTCTTTCTCTCACTGGTACCAGAAGGCGTTTGTCCTTTCCAGCTGTGAAGTATCCTGAGCATACGATTACCATCATTACTAGGAGCTTCCTGGTCTTGCTAAAGCAGTAGTTTTAACTTGTTCAGTTTATTCACACCTAATATTTTTCCAGTAGAGTTGCAGACCGTAGTATAGCTGACAATTGGTCTGCTCCTCTTAGTTACCTTTCACAGCTCCTTGGCAGTTTGCTGCTCGTAAGCTGGAACACACTGTTCTAAAGTAAAAAGAAATCAAGCTGAAGAAATTAGAGGGCTCAAGGAGACTGCCCTTGGTGCGAAGTACTGTAGAAGAATGATTAATCAGCTCATTACTGTTAGAAAAATGACTTGAAAATGCCATTGTAATTTTTCTGTTCTGAATCCCTTTATGTGATTAATGCTACTAATGTGACAACATTAGCCCCATGTGCCCCTTTTGTGTTTTGCATTGCAGACAGAGTATGCACGCTATGAAAATGGACACTATTCCTATCGCATTCACCGTTCCCCTCTCTGCGAATACATGATAAACTTCATTCATAAACTCAAGCACCTTCCTGAGAAGTATATGATGAACAGTGTGCTGGAGAACTTTACTATCTTACAGGTGGGACTTTCAACTGTTTTCGTTGGAGCTTGGAAACATGTGAGCCCCATGCAGGAGTTCACTGTTGTGAGTCAAAGCAGATTTCCTTTTACAGCTCAGCATGTAATTGAACTTGGTATCTCTTGCGTGTATTGCACATCAAGACCATTTATGGAGCTCTAGAGATAGTAACTCATGCAGAGAAGCAGCAGAAGAATTTGAGAGACGTGAGTAAGAGAGAGAAAAAAAGAAAGATAAAGGGAGAACTCATGAGGCAGAGAGATAAAGGAAGGAGAAGGATGCAAAAGTCAGTGAAGGAAATGCTCATTCCACTATTGGACAAATGTTGAGGTCCATTCTGTGCCCTGGCCCTTTTTGCAAGGTAAAAAAAAAAAAAAACAAGAGCACTGTTAAGTGGCACTGTTAATTTTGTCATGGGAAGAGTTCTTCACTGGCCAGGTAGGAGGGAAAAAAAAAAAAGTTGTTTCCTCAGGACCATCCTGAACCTGGAAAGAATACAGAGGCACATAAAGGAAGGGGCATGTTGGGGGAAGCTCTATGACACCTTCATGAATCACTGCAGCCTCTAGGTAGGGCAGTACTACAAGGCTGCAGCAACTAGATTTGCATTAGTGTCTATGTCGTACCAGGAGCCTTTCCAGGCTCGGATGCAGCCGAAATTTGGGAAGAGGGCAAAGACAGCTTAAAAGGTGGATTTTCCTAATGGACTGAGTTCTGTGCTCGCCTCTACAAGATGCGTCACAGATCTTCGCCCAAAGAACCTGAGGTTGGGTAAGTAGAAGAGATGCTAGCAGCTGTATGAAAGAATGGAAATCAAGTGGTCTTCATTCCATTCTCTAGAGATCTTGTGGGACTTCAGGCAACTCATTTCACTGCTCTGTGGCTCAGGTACCTCAGCTGTAAAACACAAGGTTAATAGTATACCTCACAGGGCTTTAGGAGGCTTTACTCTTTCATGTTTGTACTGAGATCTTTAGCATCTGGAAGAAAAGAGGAGTATCAATGCTAAGAGGTTTTTTAGATGAGCAAAAGCATGAAGGAGGCAGGGACAGAGAGATGGAAGGCCTGTGTGCTGTAATTCATACTGAAGAACACTGTAACTACTTTCTGTATGTTTCATTCCTCGGTCAGGCCCACACTTGCTATAAATTTTATGAACAAAGTTGTCATATAGTTATACTTCCTCTGGGGCTTTATGTTTTGAGTAATCTCATGTCCTTCCCTTACCTCCTGTCACAGAGAGGCATGTCGCATGTGGGTACTGGCACAGCCTTTTATGTATTGCCTTGCAGTCCTGCTCCCTGAGCAGCAGACTGAGCATCTTCCACCCCTCACTCCCCACTGGGGAGCTGAAAAATGATCATGTTTAATGCAAGGGGTGCTGCTAGTCCTCAGTCCCCACTACCAACTTCTGAGGCAAGTCTGATTACATTTTTTCTAGACCCTTTCATGAGCTTAGATACCCCTAATCTCACAAGCATGATTTGTCTTGCTTTGCACGTTGCTCTGTATCTAGCCCTCCAGGATTTCACAGCCCATTTTCCAGAAAAGGCTCTGGTGCCTTGCCACACCTGGGTGTGTATAACTCACGATGGCCTGCAGAAGAAAGAAGGGTTAGTTCAGCTGTAAACCCAATCAAGAAGTAAGAAAAGAAAACAGAATAGACCGAAATCAGGCTGCTAAAATTAATAAGCAAGTTTGAAAACAGCTATTTTCTTTCTGTTTTCACAAGAACAGTTGGGCTTCGGTACAGTTCAAGCCTCCAGCTGGTATGTTTTTCTTCTGTAATTGAGCTGGTGCTACTGCTGATAAAAATGTATCTCCTCCAGCAGGAGAGAACGGCTTGAAGCTTTAGCTATGGCACAAACTCAGATGACAAGAATGTGCAAAGTTCTGCAGTGACAGAGAGAGGGAAGGAGCTAGGAGCTCTGGGTGCAACATTTCGCTTGTCCCTGCCGTGTAGTGTAGGCAGTGCACGCTTCCGAAACTAGGACAACACTGTTCATCACCATGCTTGGTGACACTGAGTCATATTGCAGAGAAGCTAAGGTTCCTGAAGGCCCATAGAAAAAGAAATGGAAAAAAAGGAGCTTCTGTAAGAATGCATGGGTGTAGCAGCCATCCTTCTCCCGACATCTACAGTGTATGGAATGGGAAGCGTAATGGAGTCAAACCTATAAGTCTCCTGTAAAATGAGTTATACTCTATAATCCTCATGGTCTGTGTCTACCACTGACAAGCAGGAGCAGATGGAGGGAAAGAACTGTTCACGGCTGTGATATATCAACAGATACGTAAGCAGGAGTGGATGTACCACAGGTGGCCTGTCTATACCCAACAAACAGAGCAAAAACAGATTTTCTGTGAAACACCTTCTCTCTGCTGAAATCTGCAACACCAGGGGGTGAGGAATAGAGGACCTAGTGGACCTGCTTCCACTTACGTGATCACTGCTTGGTTACAGCTTTCTTTTCTTCACAGTGGACTCTGCGCACCTCCCTGCCTCTTCACTGCATTGTAGTCCCAATGCTGTGAAAGTGTTTTGCTTGGGTGTGTGGGCACATAGACTGAGGGTTGCAGTGGCTGAGCTGTGTATCGTTCCTGTATTTCTCTGTTCTTTGCCTATTACGGACTTTTTGCCCTATGTTAAATGTGTTGGAATATGTAAGCAGAGGAACAGCAGTTGCCATCTCAGCTTCTTCTCCTTTTCTGTCTAGGTTGTGACAAACAGGGACACACAGGAGACCTTGCTGTGCATAGCATATGTTTTTGAGGTGTCAACTAGTGACCATGGTGCCCAGCATCACATCTACCGGCTGGTGAAGGACTAGAGACTCTCTGCCCTGAGTCGTCCATGGGATGCATGTCTAAGAAAAAAGCCTGTGCTTGAACAACCCCTGCCCCTCATACCAAACTGAAAAATAAACTGCAGATATTATGTATTTTCAGAAAAGCACCTCTGAGCTGTTTTGTGATTGACAGGGTCAAATAAGTTTGCATCTCCAGGTTTGTGCGAATGGGAAAAAGACTTGGAGTCAAAGAAGCAGGCAAATAACTGCTTAAGCGTTTCACCACAAACAGCATCCTCTGGAATGTATTTCCCACAGAGCACACACAGGGTGTTCTCATACACAAAAAAGGAGTGGTATGCACCTGAGCGTACAGGTGGGTCAATGGCAGCAGCTTCCATAAGTTTGACCACATATGAACAGGTTGAAAATGTTCATGCTACATCTGGTCTGAGTGTGTGCACTCATATACATTCATTTGTAGGTCAACACATGCACAGACATACTTACCGTACATTTATATGGATGTCAGTTAAGACATATGTGGGCATATGCAGGTGTATAGAGATTGCACATACAACCTACGTATCTGCCTGTCCAGCTGTACACCTTAGCAGATGTGCAGTCACAGGTTCCTTCAGCCTTCCTTCTGTTAGAGGCTGGGTACTGTTTCCCTCTTCTGTGCATGATAGTGAGAGACCAACCTTTCTTTTACCCATTAAATGAAGTTACGCTTAGGAAATTGGGTATAATTATTGCTGCTTTTGCTTCTGTTCTCCCTGCACAGTTAGCACTGCTCAGGGAGCTAGACTTTGCTCTTTTCTTGCACACCAGCAAAATAATTGTTTACCAAGATCAAATTATTCCACCCATTAGTTGCAGACACTGAGGAGCACAAGTATTGCAAAGAATGCCATCTAGATGAGAAAGAATAGTGAAAAGAGGTTAGCTTTCCATGTTTCTAAGGCAATCAGTCTCTCTGCTTTGCTTGTAAACTGAGGTTGTTTACTCAAGAGTCACTGAGAGGCAATAATCTTGGTTCCCACAGTGCTGCTGATGTGGGGAAAGATCCAGCCATTCTTGTTACTCTGAGGGAAGAGGTGGGTTGCGTCATGCTCTGGCAGCCACCGAATGGGGAATTTATTGGGTGACCAGGCACAGTCCCATGGCACAGATTTGGATATATGGTGTTACATCTCCTCTTTCCACAGTGCCTCAGAACACCTTAGGAAACACCTCACCTATTTCAGATGTTTCCATCCTTGTGTTTTTGGCACAGAGAAAAGAACTTGTGGGTACTTGAGGAATCTGAGATACTGTCAGAAATCAAGGGTTTATTAGAATGGCACAAGGTAAGAGCTTCAGCCACACACAGATGAAATGACTTCTTTCAAGAATTTATGAACTTGTTGGTGCTCCCTTCTACAGCTTTCAGTCTGCTGGTTAAAGGGCTCTGTGGATTCCATGAAGATACCGTACAACTCTTCCCACAGCGTACGTAGAGGCCTGTGAGACGTACATATCTCCTCCAGCTTCCTAACCATCTTCCTGTCCTTTAAAATGTTTCGTTTCTGTATTTGAAGTTGTAAGTTGTACTCATTTACAAGGTACTCCAGGAGTCTTCTCACAGACTGATGATTTTGTTTCCTGCACATTTAAATCTCAACTCCCTTTGAAGTTTAAATCTTCCACTCCTACAGAATGTTCTTCCCATGTTTTATGGACTCAGATTAATCCTTTGAGTACTTGAAGGTCTAAGCCTCCACTGGGCTTTTTCACAAGTATGGTTGAATATTCCCCATCCTCTCACTGAAATTCATGAAAAATGCTCAGCCAGTCACCTGCCAGTGTACCATCAGCATCACTTCTACTTGGTATATTACATTGGGGGTGGGAGGAGGGGGGTGGGAGAGGGAAGAAGGGATGAAAGATTCACTTACTGGAACAGTAATTTATTTTTAAAACATAATCTGGTATCATAGTCAGTTTTATCTCCTCCAAACTCTTCATTATGCTCAGAGAAAGTACCAGCATCTTTCACATCAACTCTCAGCTTTCACTTCTCAGGCTCCTTAGCTTTTCCCCACAAGATGCTTTGGGCAATCTGCTTCTTTAGATGCTTGTTTGAACAATCATAATTTTTCACTATCTCTTCTTGGTTGTATTCAGGAGTTTCCTTGTGTGTTATGGTGGCTGTGCTTTCTCTTACCCTGCTTTAAACAAGTTCTGGTAAACACTGAACTTAGCTAGATAATGGTAGCTTCAACCACTCTGTGTAATACTTCTGAGGAGGAATCTGCTAATGCCTTGGAATCATCATGGTTTTATTTTGAAGCTGGTATTGAGAGCAATTGTTCTTTGCTAGCTCATAAGTGTAGAGAAACATGCAGGTTTTTTCCTCAATGACTTAAATCTTAAGTATTTCTCTGGCTCGTTGCTGGCTGATAGTATAGAGTTTCTTTCTCTGAACTGTTTTCCAAAACCTGTGTAAAACTTATTCAAGCCTATAATGCTGCCTCTAGGTTTGTAACAGTTTATGACCTTAGGACTCAATACAATCTTTTTTGACTTTGTATTGCAGCTGGGTCAGTTGATTCCTCACAAGGAATTAATATTCAAGAAGCAGTAAAGAATGAACTATTAAAATCTAACTTACAAATCAAGTGAGTTAAGTTTACTACAGTAAAATTTTGATATGGGACCCCCTAAAAATTTTTGTCTGGAGCATGAGTTCACATTGGTGTGGCTGTCAGCACTTGGATGAAAAGCAAACAACTAAAAAGACCTTTAACAAAGATGACAGATGACTGTGTTAACTGAGGGGAAGGTGTGTACTGAAAAAGATGAGTATAGACCCATTCTCTTAACATCATCAGTGGTCTGGAGGAGAGAGAAACCAGCAGGGTAAATTAATCTGCAGATAGCACTAAAGGAGATTTTTGCAAGATGAGTATGTATAGAGAAGTTGAACGACTTGAACATCATTGAAACACTAGGCTTGAACTGGGAGAATAAATACTAAGAATGATTTGAAATATCATTTAAGATGCCCTTAAAATAAAAAGATAAAGATGGCAAGTGAAAGGTAAATTATGGGAAAGATAATCAGTGCCTGAGAGGTACATGATCCAAAACTGGACAGCCTGTTGGAACTAATGGTCAAAGGACAGATGTGTAAATACAAAACTTCAGTGACAGAGACGAACATGAGTCAGACAGAAGTCTTGTGGTGCTACCCACTCAATGAAATGGAGACATACACTGGAGGATGAAGATTTTTGATATCCGTGGAAGAGGTGATGCCAGGCCCTAAAAAGGGTGCTTTATTTGGCCTAGCACGTGAGGAATCCTGAGGATTTCCATTTCAACAGAGATTTCAAACAGAAGACCAGAATAGAGGCTACTTGTAAAGCCCTACTGAATATGCTTCATATGCAGGTACAATTTTAAAATAGAATATAGAATAGAATAGAACAGAACAGAATAGTTCCAGTTGGAAGGGACTACAGTGATCATCTAGTCCAACTGCCTGAGCGCTTCAGGGCTGAACAAAAGTTAAAGCATGTTGTTAAGGGCATTGTCCAAATGCCTCTTAAACACCGACAGGCAGGGGGCATTGACCACCTCTCTAGGAAGCCTGTTCCAGGGTTTGACCACCCTCTCAGTCAAGAAATGTCTCCTAATGTCAAGTCTGAACCTCCCTGACGCAGCTTTGAACCATTCCCACGCGTCCTCTCACTGGATCCCAGGGAGAAGAGCTCAGCACCTCCCTCTCCACGTCCCCCCCTCACGAAGCTGTAGAGAGCCATGAGGTCACCCCTCTGCCTCCTTTTCTCCAAACCAGACAAGCACAAAGTCCTCAGCCTCTCCTCACAGGACATGCCTTCCAGCCCCATCACCAGCTTGGTTGCCCTCCTCTGGACGCATTCAAGGACCTTCACATCCTTCTGACATGGTGGGGCCCAGAACTGCGCACAGTACTCCAGGTGGGGCCGCACCAACGCTGAATACAGCAGGATAATCCCCTCTTTTGACCGGCTGGTCAGGCTGTGTGGGATCCCCCCAGGATGGGGTTTGCCCTCTCGGCTGCCAGGGCACGCACTGCTGGCTCACATTGAGCCTGCTGCCGACCAGCCCTCCAGACCCCTTTCTGCAGGGCCGCTCCCCAATCCGGCATTTGTTCTCGTTAAATTTCAGCCCATTGGTGACTGCCCAATGCTTTAATCTATCCAGATCCCTCTGCAAGGCCTCTTGTCCCTCCAGAGAGTCAACAGCACCTCCCAGTTTGGTATCACCAGCAAACTTGCTAATTCAACTCCTGCATCCAGAGCACTGATAAAAATATTGAACAGAACTGGCCCTGAGGAACGTTACTGGTGACTGACCACCAGCCAGATGTAGCCCCATTCACTACAACCCTTTGAGCCCTGTCCAGCTACTTCTTCACCCAGCACACTATGAGCCTACTCATCTCTCAGTATCAAAAGTCTTACTAAAATACAGAAAAACTACATCCACCACCTTCCCTTCACCCATTAGGTGGGTCACTTTATCATAGAAGGATATTAAATTAGTTAGAGAGGACTTTCCCTTTGTGAACCCATGTTGACTGTTCCTGACAATTGCATTGCTCTTTAAATGCCTTTCAATAGCACCCAGTATGATCTTCTCCATAATTTTTCCAGGTTCTGAGGTTAGACTAACAGGTCTATAGTTTCCTGAGTCTTCCCTCACGCCCTTCTTTTAGATTGGAATAACATTGGCTAGCTTCCAGTCAGTGGGGACCTCCAATTTTGGTGCTCCAGTAAGCACAAGCTGTACCAGGACTAGCCTTTCAGCACATAGCCCTGCACTGCTGGAGTCCCAGTGGGCCTGGACAATCAATTTGATGTGGAAGGGGGACTAATTGACTTACTTCCTCATTAAGCTATTGCACGCCAGTTGATCTAACTGTCCAAGTGCAGGTTTCTATTTGCATGTAGGAGGTCCCTCACAAGGATGAGTCTTCACCAGACATTACTGTGGAGCAGCTGACATGATACTGCCTCTGCCACGCATGCTGCACTTTGCTGCTCGTGGTCTGCGTCTAGGTCATAACCTGTGCTTTAAAGGAAAGGATGTGGGTAAGGAGGACAGCAAAGTTGATGCCATGAAGTCAGAGCTGGAG